GAGCAGGGAGCCCGATGCGGGGCTCGATCCCAGGACCCTGGGATCATGACCTGAGCCGAAGGCAGACGCTTAACGACTGAGCCACCTTATGGCAGGGCATTGTTCTTTGTTACAATATCATAGCCAGAAGTAGAAGGGTCTGTCTATCCCTTTCAATATCTGATTTTATGTAAAAGTCTTTCTGGAGTGTCTGGGTCTTCTACTCCTTGAGCTAGTGTAAAAATGCCTCCTTTTCATTTAGTTAGGAATTAAATTGAATTGATCTGACATCAGAACAGAAACTGTGTTTCTGCTTCTTTTGAATTCGCTGAAATGGGAGGCCTCTGAGGCACACACCTTTGTGGTAATATAATTACACCATTCCACATATTTTGCAATCTGGAAGAAAAAGGTAAATTGTACATATTGTTCAGATCTTTTATTTAGCAACTTGGTGTTTGAAGATCTTTTCCTTGAGGCTTCTCTTTCTAGTTGTTTTGTCCAACTTTTCGTTTTGTCAGACATTTCACAGAAATGTTCTTGTCTGCATCTGTCTCACTGTCACCTGGTTGACTGTTTGAGCTGGGTGGGGTATGGCCTCCAAAAGGCCTTGCTTCTGGCCCACAACACCTGGATCCTGCTCTTTTGTTGCCTCTCTTCGCTCCAGTGGCCCAGTCTTTTCTGTTGCCCTTACAAAGTTGGAAAGATCTCTCACTTCTCACTTAGTTATTTCTTCTGATATTCTTTTGGGGACGCTTCCTTCCTACGCAGTGTGAGCCTTGACCTCTTTGAGGCTGGCTGCTGGGAGGCCTGTGGCCGGCCTGTCTCAGAGAGCCAGTCTCGCCACCGTCTCCATCTGTGTCTGTATTCCCTGGGCTGTTCCTGGGCCAGCGTTCATTTGTCTTGTCTGGGTTCCCCCTGGCCTGCCTGTATTAATTCTTTGCCAGTCTGTTTCCCCCAGTGTTTGGGGTATGTTTTCTCAGGCACACCTGTGCTCTGGCTTGTCACTCAGCTGCTGGGCAAGAGAAGACTGAATAAGATTTAAAACCAGGGAAAAGGAAATCACTAATCTTGTCCTAGGGGACCCAAAGGCAGGGCTGCTGTCACTCATGGCTCTTTTCACTTTCCTTAGCTCTGCCTGCCCCCCACCCCCCCCCAGGGTCTTGCCCTCCCCCAGGATGGAGCCCCAGGAAGCCAGGTCCTGGCAAGCCCTCTTGAGATACTTGAGGCCCAGGTGAGCTGTGCTTCCCTCTGCCTGGCTTAGGAATCTGTCACTGCTCCCTGATTGTGGCCGTGACCTCTACCTCGTTTCCCAGCATGACACACTATGGGACCTGAACTCCAGCTTATGCCTGTCCTCCCTCTGCTTTCTTCCTGAGTCTACCAAGAAATGGACACCTGCTGGGGTTGTAATTCCCATTATGCTGGTGGGGGAGCTGCATTTCGGTCCAGGAAAGCGACGGGACCGAGGTCCCTCGGGAAGACAGTGGGAGGCCCGGGCCATGGCCCAGGTGTTCTGATGCTTGGTCAGATTCTCTTTCCAGGACTTAATCTTTAGGCTTGTGCTTAGATCTCCATGCTAGCGACGCACACCCACTCCAGACCCTCACCTCTTATCCCTGCTGTTACTAGTGCTCCCCCCACCTCATTCTAGAACGGACAGAAGGACAACTTATCCCTGGGAATTCTTTCAGGATTCAGTGACAGTTGACGACGTGGCACAGTACGTCACAAAAGGAGTGATTGAGACTGGACGCCGAGCAGAGGACACTGGCATATTACAGGAATGCGACCTCCGTGGGTAAGGATGGCCCTAGCCCCTTCCACCAGCTTCCCCACAGCTGCATGGTCCTACACAGCTGGGTGTGGGGTTCGGGCCACCCGGAGTAGCCCTACACAAGCTTGCCTTCTGGGGCCTTATACCGCCCCCACCCTGGGGATCGGCTGTAAGAAAACCCAAAGTGCCTGCCACCCTCAGCATTGCTTTTTCTTTTTTTCTTCTCTTTGGTCAACATTTCAAAGTAGCAGGGCTCCCTCCCAACTCCTGATGGCATGGAAAGAAGCTCTGTCAGTGTTTTAGTGGGAAAGAAATTAGAACAAACGGGCCCCTGTCATCTAGGAAACTTTTTAAAAAGATCACGAATTACCCAAAAATTACACGGCCATTTTATTATGGCTTATTGTTGAGGGAGAGGTTGACACAGCAAGGCCCTCTGCCCTATCAGGGGCTGCACCTGTGCGGTGGCGAGGGTCGCTAAGACAGGAGCCCGCTGGGGGTGAGGTTTGGGAGCAGGCACTGAGGAATGTGAACCCGGAGAAAGGGAGGGTCAGCTCTCCTGGATGACCGCCTGGCCCTGCATCCGGGTGGGCCCGGGGTCTGCCTCCTCCGTTCCCTGGAGGGAGCCAGCCCTTGGGGAAGGCATTTGGAACGGATGAATGACGTGCCTGAGGGCACAGCCAAGCTCGACTTTGTGGATTAAAAGGGTTTCATCTTTGAAGGCCCTGCCCCTCTCTGGCTGCCGGCAAAGCCCTTTTCCTTTTCCGTGAGCAGGAGTTCCTGTTGTGAATCCTACCTGGTGTGAGGACACGTGCTGCTGGTATCTGCCCCATCCCCTATTGCAGAGCGAGCGAAGCAGTCTGGTGAGTGCAAACGAAACCCGAAAAATGAAGCCGTTGTGGGGGGACACCCAGCTGAGCCTGTGGGGAGGAGGTGCGGCTGCTTCTCTCCCATAGAGGGGGGAGATCTCCTCAGGGCCGCTTCAGTGGTAGGGGGTGGGCAGCAATGAGGCCTGTCTGCGCCTTTCGTCTGTAGTCCTTGCTTCTAGTTGGATGGGCACCAGCCAGCCTGCCCGCAGCCTCTCCGGGCGCTGTGTTCAGCAGCTGTGTCAGGAGGACTGCGATTCTCGACAAAGGAAAGTAACCTCCTTCCTTCCTCCTCTGCAGAGGACCAGTGTCTCGCGGTTCTCATGTCAGAAGGCATCTTGGTGACCCAACAGCAGGCGATGGGTGAAGAAGCTCAGCCGCAGGAGATGGCATCCACGAGCTCCCCGTGGGCCGGGGAGCCCAGCCCCGGGCTCAGACAGAACAGGGGCTCGGAGGGGAGCGGGGGGAGCCTTCAGAACCGGCCTATGGAGCATCACTTCGCATGTAAAGAGTGCGGGGATGCCTTCCGGCTGAAGGTCCTCCTCGTGCAGCACCAGAGAATTCACAGTGAGGGGAAGGGCTGGAAGTGTGGTGATTGCGGGCAGGTCTTCAGGGGGGTCTCGGAGTTCAATGAGCACCGGCTGGGCCACGTGGCCGCAGAGCCCCAGCCTGGCCCCAGCCGAGCCCCGGAAGATGCTCCGGAGAGAAGGGAGCAAATGGAGAGGGAGGCGAAGCCTTTCGAGTGCGCGGAATGTGGGAAGAGGTTTAAGAAGAACGCGGGCCTCAGTCAGCACCTGCGGGTGCACAGCCGGGAGAAGCCCTTTGACTGTGAGGAGTGCGGGCGGTCCTTCAAGGTGAGCACGCACCTCTTCCGCCATCAGAAGCTGCACACGGCCGAGAAGCCGTTCGCCTGCAGGGCGTGTGGCCGCGAGTTCCTGGATCGCCAGGAGCTTCTCAAGCACCAGCGGGCGCACAGCGGCCACCTGCCCTTCGACTGCGACGACTGCGGCAAGTCCTTCCGCGGCGTCAACGGCCTGGCCGAGCACCAGCGCATCCACAGCGGCGCCAAGCCGTACGGGTGTCCCCACTGCGGCAAGCTCTTCCGCAGGAGCTCGGAGCTCACCAAGCACCGGCGCATCCACACGGGCGAGAAGCCGTACGCGTGTGGCGAGTGCGGCAAGGCCTTCCGGCAGAGCTCCAGCCTCCTGGAGCACCAGCGCATCCACACGGGCGAGCGGCCCTACGGCTGCGGCGACTGCGGCAAGGCCTTCCGGGGCCCGTCCGACCTCATCAAGCACCGGCGCATCCACAGCGGCCTGAAGCCGTACGAGTGCGACAAGTGCGGGAAGGCCTTCCGGAGGAGCTCGGGCCTGAGCCGCCACCGGAGGACCCACAGCGGAGCGAGGCGCTGCGAGTGCAGCGCGTGCGGCCGCGTGTTCAAGAGGCGCTCGGCGCTGCAGAAGCACCAGCCCACCCACCACGCCTAGACGAGGCCCCGCCGAGGCCCCCGGAGGCGGCGGCGGGGGCGAGTCCCCGGAGGGGCAGGGCAGAGGCAAGGAGAGGAGCGGTTTCGCAGCGCTGATGTAGTTTCGCGTCGCAACGGTCGAATCCAATTTATACTGGCACCAGCAGTTTCTAAGTGTACGTGGTCCCCGTTTTGCCCATCGACAGTAGCTTCTCCGACGGCCTACCTTATTTGGACCGGTGTGACGGGCCTCGGGTACCTTCAAGGTATTCCAACCCGCGGGCCTTGAAACCGAGAATGAGAGAAGAGAAACCTGCGCGTGGGGGTGGAGCGGGGCGTGTAGGTCCCCTTCTCCCGGCTGCTCCCTCCGGGAACGGAACACGGAGCTAGTCAGCGATGGCCTCGATGTAATGGGACCCCAGCTTTCCTGAAGACAAGATAGAGCCCCAGAGTTGTTTGGCCTACTTGAATCTATAAATTGTTAGGGATGTACATAGAACACTCAAATGTCTTATAATATTTAATTTATTAATTCAGTTATACGTACAGACTGTAAATCACGTATTACACAGAATAATATATTACTGTAGAAAATACTCCTGTTTCGCCCTCACGCCACTCCACAAGACGATTGCATTCTGAATCCTCACATGCATCTCTGACCTCACTGTCTTCACCAACCTCGTAGCCCCCTTTGAGTCCTCCGACAGTTTAAAAGCACATCCGGTGGCTCCCACCCATCTAAGCTGTGTGCCCAAGGCTCTCACTAGAAACTTCCTCCTAAGCCATAATGACGTGTTCACATCACGTTAGGACAGTTGGTGGTGGTGGTGGTGTTTTTAAACTTGTCCCATAGCTCTACACCATAACCACTTACCGTGTTTGCCTTTCTTAAATGACCGTCAAAAGACTTTTTTGAAGCATCTATAACTTGGCATTGTGAGGTCATACTCCCAGGAATAAGTACTGAATCTGGCCTAAATTGCTTTTGCGTCCATTTTTCTTCCGCCAGTCCGTTCTGGTGACCTCCATGTGCGTCCAAAACTAGCATCAGTTGGGGTCTGTTGCGGGTTCATAGGTCTTGTCCTCAAGCAGTACTGTTCTGTTCAAGCTCAAGTAGTTGAGAGAGTGTCCCCATAACAGGGACATCTCAAGGACTCAAGTATGAGGTGATGCCTCTTTTTCGGGAGCGACAGCCTCTCCTCCCGTGGAGGCAGCCCTCCGTTTCGGGCTCTGTAAAGCAGGGGTGATCACAGGACTACCTCCTAAGGTTATCGTGAGAACTGCGACGCCACGCCTGGCCCGAAGGTGCACTCAGTGAAGGTCGTCTGCTGTCATCACCATAATTATTGCTGTCATTCTATGGCTCCTCAGTACGGACCTGGGGATGGACCCAGGCCTCCTGACTGCTAGTCTCCTCTTCTTTCTCTCGTGCAATGACTTAAGTCGTGTTCCTGTTTTCTTGCATGCAAACCGTACGTTCATCTCCTTTGACCAGTTATCAAGTTACCTTTGGATATATTGACTTTATACAGCGGTTCTTTCTATATCGATTGTGATGATCTCTTTTCCAGTTTTATTGCTTTGCTCTTTGTAGCAGTTTTATTACATTTTTGTCGTGCGAGCTTTAAGTTTTACAGATCTGAGCACTCACCATTGTCCGTTAAGCCGTAACTTTCATTGCTTCCATACTTAGATACGATGATGTTTTCTTCTAGAATTTTAATTACAAATGAAAAGTTGAAAGCCCTGCCCCACCAGAAGGTGGATGCCCCAGGTGGGCAGGCTGGATGGGAAGGGGCCAGAGAAGCAGGCTCTCTCCTCATCCAAGACGCAGACTCTGTGCATGTCTGTGGGCAGTACTTGACTATCCAACCTGGCCACGCAGACACGCAAGAGAAACGTCCATCTCGGATTGGCCAGAACATTGTGACTGTTCCTCAGTATAGCCCTACCTGTCAGCAGCAGGCCTGGGCCTCAACTAGATCAATGGGGTGGTCCAAACGTGGTCTCGGCTGCAGCTGGCTCTCCTTCAAGCTCCGGGGAGCTTTGGCCATGCCCGGCATGGATTCCGTGCCTGAGCAGCAGATCCACCCAAGGCACATCTCCTCGAACACAAGAAGACTCACTTGACCGATGCTGTCATGTGGATGGCGTCCTCCTCCTAGTGAGTGACTCTGGAACTAGAAAGAGGTCAGTTTGGTGGCTTTTGCTTTGGGCAACTAGGGGGAAATTCACCCACGTGTTCTGATGTTACCTCCTGCAGCTACACCTAAGAGGAGCAACAGAGCAGAGGCTCGGGGCGGACCCGTGCCCTTCTGATGCCCTGTGCGTCACGGCCATAGAAGCTGGCCACAGCAGGCCCAGGCTGTGACTGTCAGCGGCCATGCCCAGGAGGGGCAATAAGACAAGGGTTCGGAGGGCAACCGTGCCCTTCTGATGGCCCATGTGGCATAGAAATCGAAGCTGGTCATCCTGGGGCTAGGCTGTTACTCCCGACAGCCTCCCCCAAGAGGAACGGCAGCAAGGGCTGGCCGGAAGGCTGGCCTCCAGTGACCTGCCGAACCCGCAGGTAGAAGCCAGCCGCACCGGGGCTGTGGTGTGACCTGCCAGCAGCTGTGCCCCAGGGGCCACTAGCGGGCCCCTAGAGGGGGGGTACCCTTCCTGATGGCCCCCCCCCACCCCCGCCGAGGCTGAGACGGAGCTTCTCAGCAGGAGCGCCCGGAGGAGCTTCTCAGGCCCCCATCCTGGGAAGCAAGGTCCCCTGGTGACCGCTGTGACCTTAGCCAGAAGGTCCTCTGGAATGGCCGCCAGGCCACGGGAGTGGCTCTCTGTGACGTCTCCATCCTGGCCCTCGGGCTGGAGAGAAGCCAACAGCACTTGTTACATAGCCGCTGCTTTTGCTCTGTGGCTTCCGGGCCAGCTGTGTCCGCAGTCACTGCTTCCTTCTGCATCACTGGTCTGTTTTCGAGCTGTCAGGACGCGTTCGACACAGCTGCCATTGGGTAAGGAACTTGACATGGACGGGGGGCAAGCCTGGCAGCAGCTCACTAGCCGTTTGTCAGCTTCTCTGAAGGATCCAGATACAGTATTAGCTCAGAACTTCGCGCTGTCGCGGCGTCATGCCCTCCTCGACTTTTGCCATTCTCAGTTCTCGCGTTCTCTCTGACACAAACCCTCTTCTAGAGTTAACACTAAAGACCGCGTCTTTTCTGTCGCTGTGTTTGCGGGTGACGTCCGTGCTCTGTCCGGCTTTAACATGTGTCCTGTAGTCGCGCCGAGTTCAGTGTTCGCCTCTCGTAACTTGGGGGTGGGTTTCCTTGGGCCCCGTAGGTGTGCTGCATTGTCAGGTGCAAAATGTGTGCGTGCTCATCTATGCATTTGTGTATCTACCTCATTTCGTTTTTTCTTTCTAATCACACACATTCCTTTCGCAAGGGAAATGTAGAGCAGTTGGGTTACATAGAATGCCGACTCTCATTAGAAATAGATCCTTTTCTTAGATTCTGAAAGAAACCTTCCATTGCTTTTATTAAAGTTTTGAATACTTGCTGAAATTTTTAAATGAAAGTGGTTGTTTACCATTTTTGCTGCTTATTACGATTAACTGTGTTGATTAGTTATGTCTTACCCACTTCTGCACTTCCAGAGTGAGCCCCCCCACCAAATCGCAGTGCTGGCATTCCACGGGCCCGGGGTTTCAGCCTTGTCGTGTGCCCTGGGACCCTCACCACCCCCCACCCCCAGGCCGCATTAATTCAACCAGAACCGAACACTTGACTCGAGGGCAGCAACCAGTCATCAGAGCCAACTGGACACGACAGGCTGGGCCTTTCCGGTTCAGTGTCTGTGAAGTGCAAACGAAAAATGAGAGAGGAGTTCCTAGTTGGTATTGGAAGAAAAAGGGAGCCACACGATATTTAGAGGAGTTGGACCCCATGGGTGGCACCAGCTGGAAGACGTGTGGGCTCCTGCTAAGCACTCCAGAGCTGCCCCAACTCCATCACCCCGACGGAGTCCTGGCCTCATTATGTTCTTGGATTTCGGGCAACTGCCCCCATCAGATCATTTGTGTCCCCACCGTAGTCTCCCTTGACCTGAGCCAGCTTGAGTGGGTCTCTGCTTTCTGCAATCTGTCAAGAGTCAGTTGCCTTTTACCACTTGGCTGCTTCCTGAGAAGAATCACATGGCTGGTTTTCCTCATGTTCTACCCGGCTCGAGTTCCTGGCCCAAGTCCCACCTGACTATCGGAAACACCTGTTTGAATGTGGTACTGAACTCTGTTCACTCAGATGGGTAAAAATCTATGCCTTTTAGTCTCAGTGAGTTGGACCAATGCCTTTCTGTCCAGGTAGCATTGCTGTACGGATCCCCTGTTTGTCCCATGAAATGAGTTTAAGTCAACACCCACCCTGTTGTTTATTTTGGAGGTGTCTCGCTACTTCCAGAGAATCCATCAGATTGGGGAATTGAGAATTTCTCTATTATTGGTATACTTACATTCTGTACTTCTCCTAGTATCAGTTTAGGTGTTTACCTTCAAAACTAGAAATGGTCTCTTTTAACTTGGCCTTCAGTGTTCTTTGCATATCTAGGAACAGTAGCCGCGTCTGCCTCGGTCCATATTTCAGTTGTTGGCGCTCTTCTCTCATTCCTCCCTGATCTCCTTAACTTGTCTGTTTTATGGCACTTACTATAATCAGCCTTGCACTAGAGCTTCGCCCTCCCCACCTGCCCCCCACCCGTTAGATTGTGAGCTCTTATAAGACAGGGGTGACCCTTCATGTCTGATTCCCCTACCAGATCTAGCACAGTGCCTTGCATCAAGTAGATTTCAATAAATATATGTTAAATGGCATTGGTGTTCCTTGACTTATTTTGTCAAAGTTCAGGTCAACAGTTCTTCCCTTGCTCCTTTCTCTACGCTCTGAAGTTCTTGCCCCCTCCTGGGATCCAGGTGTTATCTTGTGCCTCCCCCCTTACTGGATGCCTGGAGGGGACAGGAGGTGCCCTGATGACCGAGGGCTGGCTTCCCTGGAAATTTGAGCTGCCCCTCGGCAGAAGAGGCCTGTCATTCAGCCAGGTGCCTTCTCCCGCCCTGGCTAGGGCTCTCCCCCCGAGTCTGAATTCCAGTGGGAGCAGAACCCCAGGCTGGATCCTGAGCTCCTCCCCTAGGGACCAGGAAGCGAGTGACAGAAGTGGCTTCTGGGCTAGGTGAGGGTGGGAGTGGAGAGGTCAGTCCTCTTGGCCAGTGGCTGGCCCTCTTTCTAATGATCATTTCCTCAAAAAGGCAGGTAGTGAGGACGGGCTACTGGCATCCTAACCCTCCCAAACACAAACAAGGCTCAGCTGTGGAGTCAGCTGCCCAGTCCCAGAAGGACAAGCACAGAGGAGGGGCCCCAGGAGTGCTTGGGTTGGGACCTCCCAGGCCATGATGTGCTACATCAGCAAGGAACAGGAGTTTGGAAAGGCTTGTGTCATCTTTCCTCCAGGGTCCCATCCTCATCAGTCTGTCAATCATTTCTCTACCCCAAATGCAGCTTCTCAGCAGGTGGTCTGAGAGCACCAGCCCAGCCATCGCTGCTCACAAGCCAGTTATTTAGAAAGAACCATTCATTTACTTTGCTGGTTTCACGATGTACTTGCCAATGAGAATTCCACCTATTTTTCCTTAAAACACACGCAAGCTCTGTTCGGGCAAGCTTCAGTTGTGCAAAAGTCAAGGCCACAGGTCTGCTCAGACATCTAATACTGGGCCCAGAGGGTAGGGGACAGCCTAGGGCTTCTCTCCAGGGGCCCTGTGGGCCTCTAGTGGGGGTTTGAGAATGTTCCTTTCTGTCCCTTTCTTAGTGCCCCTGCTTTCTGGAGCCCCGTAGCTTCTCCAACACTGCCCTCCTCTGAGACCCCCAAGAAGTCTTTTGCTTCCCTGGGCGTTCACGGTCCCCAGACCCCCACGTCATGGGCCAGCACCTGGGCCTCCGTCATTGCCCTAGCCCAGGCTCCCGCCTGCAGCCCTCTGCCCCAGCCCACTTCTGTCCAGCTCACATCCCACCTAGAAGGGGCCCCTGGCGTTGTCTTGGTCTGTTCAGGCTGCTATGACAAAACTACCAGAGAGGTGGTTTATAAACAACAGGCAATTATTCCTCACAGTTCCGGAGGCTGGGAAATCCAAGACCAAGGTGCTGGCCAAGCCAGCGTCCAGTGAGGACCCGCCTCCTGATTCATAGGTGATGGTCATTTTGCTGTGTCTTCACATGACGCAAGGGTGAGAGAGCTGTCTGGGGCCTCTTTTTTATAAGGGTGCTCATCCCATCCCTGGGGGGCTCTGCCCTCATGACCTAATCACCTCCTAAAGGCTGATGCCGTCACATCGGGGGTTAGGATTTTAATGTATGAGTTTGGGGGGACACAGACATTCAGAGGTGAGGGTACCTGGACTTCTCTTGGATTTATGCACTTACTAGCTTGATTTATAGATCAGTGAACTGTTTGGATTTCTTTCCACAGAGCACACACTATTATGGCTTTGATTAAAAGATTTGTAAAATACATAATACAAAACATGGTCCCCAGTTTTTCTTTTCAGGCAAGACAGGTCAGAAAGTCCTTGCGTTGCCTCACCCCTTTTCTGACCTTCATTCAACAAGCATTTATGGAACACCTGCTGTGTACCAAGCTCCAAAAGCAACTGAAACAAGCCTCACCCTCAAGGACAGACACGTGGTCAGAATGTTACAAGTGGGACCTATACTCACCAAGCTGGGCTCCTAGGATTTGTACATTTTCGGGATGCAGGTTACACTTCAGTTAGGAAAATGAAAAAGCTAAACACACAAGCTCAATATTAGCAAATTAACCCCCCCTCCCCTGTCTGCAGGTCCTGTTGATTTTACACCTCAACCTCCACACCCGGCCCTGGCTCCTCCCTGGAGCCCCTTGGGCTTTCAGACCCGACCTCACTGCCTGGGAGTGGCCTGCACCCACAGACTGGGAGCCCCCTGAGGCAGGGTGGGGCATATCCACCCCGGCCCCCCAGCACCCAACCCAGGGCCGGGCCCAGAGTAGGCCCTTGGTGAAGGTGTCCTATGAGCGGGTGGGAGGACGAGGCTCTCCCACCCCAGGTCAGGACCTGAGGGACCAGACTGCACAGGGGGGCGGCCTCGGCCTGGGCCTCCCCTCGTCTCCCTTTCTCCCCTCCCAGAAGGAAGCGGTGGAGATGATGGATCAGATCGTGTACTGGGTGCGGGAGGACCCGTCGGGGCTGGGCCGGCCCCGTCTCCCCGGGGCCCTGGCCTCCGAGTCCATGGCAGTGCCCATGATGCTGCTCAACCTGGTGGACCAGCTCGGGGAGGCGGACGAGGAGCTGGCGGGCAACTACGCGGAGCTGGGGGACTGGTGTGCCCAGAGGATTCTGCGGCATGTCCAGGTTGGGGGGGGGGACACACCCAGGGGACAGGAGGCTGACGTTCACCTGCCAGATGGGGCCTGGGAGCTGGGGGGGGCGGCAAGGTGACTCCCACTCCCTATGCCCTGGGGCACCTCCTTTGCCTACACCCACACCCCCAGCTGGGCCTCGGTGGCCCCCTTGTACAGACGGGGGAGACATGGCGGGGGTGGGGGTGGGGGCGGGGAGCACGGCTGGGGCTCAGGAGCCTAGACCCTGGGAAAGGCGGAGGGCCCGGGGGAGCCCGCTAGGGCCAAGGCCAGGAGGGAAGGTGCCAGAAGCCCTGGCACGTTAGAGAGCAGGAAACCCAGCCAGACCCAAGTTCTCCCGGGCCTCTGTATGTTCCAGGACAGCCACTTGGGTGGCGGTGGCAGGATCTCCTGGTTGGAGACGGCAGGAGTTGGCAGGTGCCGGGAGGATGAACTTCAAGAAGCCGCACGGCACCAAGCTGGCTATGGAAAGGTGTGGAAGATGTATTTGGCCAATTCTCACTATCGGGGAATGAACTTCTGAAATTCAGTACGAATTCTGAAATCTCTCTCCCGATGCAACTGTTATTATACTTTTGTTACCCACTCTCACCCCCCAGTTTTCAGGGCCCGCCAGCCAGGACAGGAGCCGTGCTCTCGGTTGCCTGCAGCTGGCTCGCTGGGTTCCCACGCCGTGTCCTTTACGGCTTCACACCGGCGGGCGCATGGCGCCTGATGCTTTTCGAGCAGCCTGCTGGATTTCAGAAGAAAAGTTTCAGTAGCATGTTTTCCAGAAGGAACTTTGTACCTAGGATTAACAGTTTGGTCGAATCTCAAAAAACCTTTGTGTTTAGTTACTATAGCAGTCCTTGTGACAAAGATTTCTTTTAAAATTTTCAGCAATTGTTTCCCTAAAGCATTTTATAAAGTCTTGTTTGAAGTCTGTTTAGTTGAGATCAAATGTGCTTTAAGAACCTTGTTTTCCTCTGAAACTTGGTTCTTTTCTTCACGTGTTCACATTCTTTATTATTTCAAGATCAGAGATGATTTACCAAAGAAGCAGTTGTAAACAACTTTGGAGATTATCCCCCGTGGAGATTCTGCTTTGTTTCCTCCCGGCAAAATGCGATCCTTCCCGACATTGCCTGCACATTTAT